GAGTAGTGAGAGAGAAGAGATAAAGAGAACTCTAAAGGATATAGGAATAGCAGATTGAAGAAGCAGCCACTGTACTTTGGGCTGAGACAGATCACCCAAGGAACAGCCCCCAGGGCTGAGAGACCAATGTGATGGAGAGGGCGTGGCTCGCTGGATGACAGAGCAGTTCACTGAGCTGCCGTTTCTAGGTTAAGTGCACACTAAGGAAAGGAGACTACTCAGCCAAAGCATATAAGAGCCATCGTGAGGACTTTCTACGTTCTCTCCTCCCCTGTCACATTGACCATGGTGGTCACGTATTGACATGGTAGAGTGTCCTTCATCCTGGGCACCTGAGTGACATCAGGAAAAGAGTCCCTGGCCAACCCATGTTGGACACACAACATGAATGGAAAATCAACCTCTGTTGATTGCTCCACTGATAATTTAAGGTTAATTTGTTACAGCAACACAGCCTCGTCCATGCTCATTAATACAGTGGTCTGGACATTGAGAAACAATGATCTCCACATTTCCTTTCATTGTCCTCATAAAGTGCTACATCCGAAATCTTTATAGTGTTGGTGTAGTGATGACACCAGAGGATGTAGGATTCTGCTTATTGCAAGTATGGACCACTGAACAACTCACCTCTAACCTGCTGTTGTCTCCAACTGTGAGTTCCCCCCAAAGGAAGCACAAGCCAACAAGAACTCAAAGAACAAATAAGCCCTAAGACTGAACTCTTGTTGCCATATGATCGGTTCTCCCTTCAGCAGCTGGAAGGATCTCAAATGTGAAATGGAAATGAAATCATGTCACTTCCCTGCTCCTATCCCTCCAATGGGTTCCCACCCCACTCAAATCAAAATCTAATTTCCTACCAAAATATAAAAAATAAAAAAGAATCCTACCAGGGCCCTACGTGTTCTGGACTCTCTTTTCAAATTCATTTCCCACCACTCTCTGCCTCTCTTACTAGAGTCACATGTTCTTCTTGCTATTTCTCTAATATATAGGTTTATTTCCACCTCAGGGCACTTGTATTTATTGGTCCCTCTATTTGCAAAACTCTCCTCTGGATCTTTGCAAAGTTTGCTCCCTGATTGCATTCAGGTCTCTGCTCCCTGGTCACCTCCTCACAGGAAACTTTCTGATCTTCCTCCCCTTACTCCCGTCCCTGTTTAATCTTTCTTTATACCACTTATCATTTGTATTATATGTTCATATAATATATATGTGTACTTGTTAATGCCCTCTCTCCCCATTAGACCATAAATTCTGTGAGAGTAAGGTCTATATTTTACTTGTTCCTTGACATAATCAGTGCTCAATAAATAGGTGTTGAACGAATGAATGAATGACTTTATATCCATATGGCCTACAGAGCTCCTGAGCATACACAACCAATGTCACCCCTATGCAGATGATGCCCAAATTCCTACTTTTCACATATGTTCCAGACTTATGACTCCAACTTCCTGGGGCACATCTTCAAATAGCTGTTCCACCACCACCATCAGGTGAACACGTCTCAGAGCATCCAGACCCACTACTTCTCATGACCTGGACATCCAGTTTCTAATCCTTTCTATTCTCTTTTCTTTACCTTTCACACAAAATCAGCAGCATCTGCTGAAATCATACTGTGCAATGGGTCTCACTTCCATCTCTTCCTTTTAGTGGCCCCCTCTCACTCCTTTAAGACGCGTTCTTCTCACTGCAACCTGGTCACGGAGATGGAAGGACTCAACAAGGTCTTCCAGTCCAGCGTCCTCCCCAGTGCCCAGATCCTTTCTCTAGCTATTCTGACAGCTGCTCATGCTTGGAACTTTTGCTTTGAATACTTTTGGTGACACTGACAGAGAATTCTCATTGGACAATTCTCATTGTTAGAAAATTCATTGTTATGCTGAACCAAAATGATTTTATTCACACACACACACGCACGCATACAATAGCTTTTCCTCCTGGAACATGACAGGACTGAAAATGTGTGAAGACATATCAAATCCTCTGTGAATTTACTGTTCATCCAATTTTCTGGTCTCCCTCCTGGAAGGAGGATTATACTTCACCATGTTGAACTCAGACATGGTTGGGTAACTAGCTACAGTCTATGGAAATAGGAAGTGACATGTGTCCCTTTTGGGCAGAAGCTTTGAGAGCCAGTTTAAATGATCTCTTTTCCCTTCATGAGACAAGCTAGGTTCCAGATAGAGGCTGCTCCCTCAGTCTGGGCTCCAGAGCGAAGATGACATGGATCAGAGCTCCAGACATTTAGTCAGGGAGCCGATTTGTGGATCTTTGCTCAAGTAGAAAGAGCGGCATTTTACAACTGTTCGCGTGAATTTTAAAGACAAGTTAGTGGCAGAACCATTTATAGAAACCAGATGTTCTGTCTTTTAGCAAAGTTGCAGCGCCGGCAAGACTAGGCGGACGGGAGGATGGGCCTGCACCACTTCCCGGAAAGTCTGCGGGGCAGAACCCACGGAGGAGGCCCCTTTCCCGCGGCGCCCTGGAGGCGGGGCCGCCCTTTCCCACGCAGGCGCCCGCAGGTTCCCGCCTGCTAACCCGCCAGCTGCGTGGCAAGGGAGCGAACCCGCAGCCCCGCCCTCTCTGGCGCCCATACCCAATGGGCAGCCGCAGACCTTCCGGGGGGCGGGGCACGCCCTGGGAGCAGTTCTAGTTGGCCCGGCGCAGCGCACGTCGTTATTACGACTACGTTACGTCGCGCTGCGACTAAGACTAGCGTCCGCTCCGGGCACTTGAAGGAGACTTGGGGACTCCCGGGCGCACCGTGCCTTTTGGGCTGCTGGGAGTCGCTGCTGCTGCCACTGCCCGCGCTCCATGAGGAAGATGCTCGCCGCCGTCTCCCGCGTGTTGTCTGGCGCTGCCCAGAAGCCGGTGAGGCAGCCCAGGGTGTGGCGCGAGCGGGCTGAGGCGGGGCTGCAGGCGGCGGGAGGGGGGACCGGGACTCGGGGCGCCCAGCTGGCCGCCACCTGGGGCCTAGCGCGACGTGTAGGGCGCGAGGGGAGCCGAGGGCCTTTGTTTTGTCTCCACGCCGTGCATTCTGTTCCTGGCTCCGGGAGAAGCGGCCTCCCGGCTCGCCGGCGCCGACTAGGGGGGAGGGAGATCCCTCTGAGGTCCGCGTGGACACCGTCCACCCCCTCCGGCCCAGCTCAGCGCCACGCAAGTAGGGGTGCTCAAGAAGTGCCGGTTGCTTTACAGGACATGGAAAAGGGAACTTGGGCTCCTTCGAGTCTCTGATTGACCCTACTCGTTTTAGATCTTCCTAATTAATTTCTCTTGCCCAAGAGACCTTGTAGTACGCGGTAATAAAAAGCCTGGAATCCGGGAGACTTGAGTGGCTCGGTACATACACCACCCTCGCCATTTACTAGCTCTGTGACCTTGGGCAAGTTTTTCTTTAACGTCCCTAAAGCCAGTTTCCTTATCTCTAAAATGGGGATAATAAGAGTACCTACCTCGTGTGGTTATCCTGAGGATTCCACGAATGACACCCTCCGAATAACGCCTGGCACGTAGTAGGTGCCGTATGTACTGAGTGTTGTTGTTTACTGAGTGTCCAGTTTGGTATACGTTTTTGTGCTCGGCTCTAAAGAGGGTTCACACAGGGTCAGGCTCCTCAAAAATGAACTTCTTTCCCCTTCCTCAACATCTCAGCTTTTCTTGGTAGTCAATTCAAGAGCAGTCAAGCAGAACCCAGAAGAAACTGCCCACCTCCTTACACACATATTCTTAGGGTGACAGTAGCTGAAGAAAACAGCAGTGATGCTTGAGAGGGTGGGGGTTAGAGGGTTAGCACTCTGTCTAGACACACCCAACACCTGAGCTTCCGGCATTTTGACCTCTAGGCACAGTGAGGCAGTGTTACTTGGTGTAACTGCAGCCAAGCTTTGACTTGTAATTCTGGCTTTAGTAATTCCCCCAGGACTGGATTCAACTCTGCTTAGCATGGGCAGAGATTGTCAAAAGGTAGGAAGCGTCCCCCTGTAGGAATCCCACTGACTAAAATAATGACAAAACACAATTTGATTATTCAGATGTTAGCATTTAAGTCGTAACTGGAGAAGCACATTTTACATTACGTATTTCTGTATATACGTGTGATATATCCAACGTTTATTGAGCTCTTAATATGTTTCAGGAACTAGGCTAAATACTTCACATGCTTTGTCTCATTTAATCCCCACAACATCAGTTTTTGGTTGTACATAAGTAATAGAAACTTGTTTTCGGGCCTGAGTTGCTTGGGGAAGTTAGCTGAAGGTTGAGTTTGCTTATAGCTTTGAGACTGGACAACGAATAGAAGTGAAAACAAATAGCAGATTTGTTATTGAAGCTTTGCACTTCATCACCGGAAATTAAAAATATTTCAAAGGTACTACCAAAATCAAACTTAGACGGTTTCAAGAAGTTGAATTGGGCTATGAAACTAATAAACAATGTTAAATATCATACCTTTCTGCCAGAGTTTTTGCTTTTAAGAGATGTCATCCCCTTTGGGGCTGTCTGTTGGTAGAGGGCTGTACCAGAATTTAAGGGCTCAGAAACATCCGTAAATCCTTATTGTTAAACACTTAATGTAGGTTTATTATGTCTTCTGAAAGTCAGATTTATCATTTCCTATATTAATTTGTAGGGTTCTTTTTCCCCACCTTACAGTAGGAAGAAAATTGAGTTCCAGAGATGCAGTCATTTTAGAAAGTGCCCAGGTATCTTCCCATCTGGTGGTGTAAACTCTTCAGATAAGTAGGAGTTTTCTTTGTGACTCTACTTGTGAGTTAATTAGGAGCCTTTCCTGATGCTTCTAATAGAACTAAAAGTTTCACCTTTATCTTTTTAAAGTGTGGAGTAATAAAGTTTAAGATGTCAACTCTTTTGTATATTTCGTAATTCTTCATACTTATGGATGTCTTTTCACTTAAATATAAATAACACAAAATATATCAAAGTTTCTATTTTTTATATTATACATGTAAAAAGATATTTTTGTGTCATAACATGTAACCAAAATGTTTGTTACCCCCATAATATCCTGAAATTAAAATAAGTAAGCAAAAAGATATTTTTGCATATAAGCCTTTTTCTCAAGATCATTTATTTATTTATTTATTTTTAAGAGACGAGGTCTCGCTCTTGCTCAGGCTGGCCTGGAACTCCTAAGCTCAGAGTGATCCTCCTGCCTCGGCCTCCCAGAATGCTAGGATTACAGGTGTGAGCCAGCGTGCCTGGCCACATATAAGCCTTTCAAAAAAAAAAAAATCCTGATAGTAAATCTTAAGCAGTGGCTTGCTCAGATTCGGCACACTTGTATAGCTAGAGTCACACCATCATGTGTTATGCTCCCCAGAGGGAGGGAGAAAGGTTAGGTACTGAAGTTAATCCCTGTAGCTTACCTCTCAGGTCTCTGCCTCTGTGTGTTTTTTCCTCTTTTCATTTTTTATTCTCTTATTTTTTCCTCCCCCTCTTAAAACCAGTGATATACAAAGATTTATCTCAGGCTTAACGATTGCTATTGTCTCAAAGAGTGTTTGGTGTGAAACTTTGAAATAAATTATAAGATCATGATTTCATTTTTGAATGAGGTTTATAGTTGTCAAAATTCTTATTACACAGAAGACTGAATTGTGTTGAAAAAATTTATTCTTTGTCTCGCTGTTTGTATTTCTGTTGTGACTCCTTTTGTGAGATCTTTACTACCAGCATTCTTTTGGCTTTATAAGTAGTAGATAACATTTTGAATTTACCCTGGTAGAATCTGGAATTTTTGAAACATTTTTCCTCTTTTACATGAGTAGTTCCTATGTATTTAGGAACTTAAAGTTTTTATTTTTCAAAATTTGAATGGGCTGCTCATGGTCTCTGTCAAAGAGGAATCTCATTTGATAGACTCTTTCTGCGTGTGGCTCTGCAGAGAAATCGAATGGTAATTATGTTTTCAACAATCTTGTGGTCAAAAATTATGATATACTAGGCCAGGCGCGGTGGCTCACGCCTGTAATCCTAGCACTCTGGGAGGCCGAGGCGGGCGGATCGTTTGAGCTCAGGAGTTCGAGACCAGCCTGAGCAAGAGCGAGACCCCGTCTCTACTAAAAATAGAAAGAAATTAATCGGACAACTAAAAATATATAGAAAAAACTAGCCGGGCATGGTGGCGCATGCCTGTAGTCCCAGCTACTCCGGAGGCTGAGGCAGTAGGCTCGCTTGAGCCCAGGAGTGTGAGGTTGCTGTGAGCTAGGATGACGCCACGGCACTCACTCTAGCCCGGGCAACAGAGTGAGACTTTGTCTCAAAAAAAAAAGAAAAAAAAAATTATGATATACTTCTGATGCAGACTTTTAACTTTAACTTAACTTTGTTCCTTTTACTCATTACATCAGTGGTTCTTATTTTTGAGATTCATAATGAAACAAGGGAGAAGTATCCAAGTAGCTTTCTGAAAGTCATAATCTTTGTCCTTACCTTCCTGCTCTTTATTATGAAGCACTATCATTCTTCATTGTGTTGACTTTAGGACTGAGAAACAATGTACCTTTTCTCTGTAGTACTGTTGCCTGGCTGGTTTGGTCTTTACTTTTACCTTCCAAAAACTGCAGTATCTGTAGTTGTATTTGGAAATTTATTTTGCAATACAGTAACTATTTCTGGTCCCACAAAATACTTTCTGCCAAAAATAACACATCTGTTTCATGATTACCAAATACAACCTTTTGTTTGCTACCTCACCCCTCTCAGCTTCTTCCCAAATTCCTAAATTTTCTTCACTTTTCTGAGATATATTTGTGGGTTCTCTCTACCTCTAACTTAACTGAAACATTAATTTTTAGTAGTTAAAATTTTTTCCTCCAGCAGTGTCATTGTCTCTGTTGGCTTTATCAGTTAATGGTATATTGATGGGTGAAGAGATAAGTAATTGGCTTTCTGCCTATTGGCTTGTACACTTGGCAGGTCAGTCTTAACTCTTCCCACCAAGATCAAGTCCAGCACTGGAAGTTGGATGGTAGAGTCCTAATGCTGTATGTGTTTGGTGAACACATCAAATGTGTTTTTTTTTTATGGGATCTGATGAATATGCTTCAAGTCTCCATGAGAAGAAATCATATTGGTTTACATGTCAGTGTGTGAAAATGTGGCAGAAAGTGGTTAAAATATTAATTGGTTAAATTTTGTGGTCTAACCTGAGCCTTAGCAATCACACAGAATACTTGTGCTGTGAGCAGGTATGTTCAATTGTAAGAGGGGAAAGGGAAGCATCTCCCCCAGCTTTTTACCCCCAAGCAGTGACAGCCACCCAAACGTCAAGAGGGGAACACTGTTTTAGAGACCGTTTCTCCCTACTGGGCTTCAGGAGGAGCCTACCCAGGATTTACGGTGTTCAAATTATAAATTATGAAACAGCAGGCTCAAGTCCATTGTTTTTAAGTCAGAGCGCTCAATATCTTTTCTTTAGTCTTGTATGTCTCACTATTGTATTTATCTCATAGAGTAGTTTAAAATATTTTTTCTTACAGATCCATTTCATAGAAAAGTGAAGTTTGCCTGGAGTAGGGATTAAATCATAGTTTTATTTGAAGTATAATTTTGAAAGTGAATCTTTGGCTTGCTCAAAATAAATGGTATCTGGTTATGACCAAGAATAGCATAACTAGACAAAGCTCACAGATTATCTAGTCTCTTTAATTTAGCCATTAATTTCATTCTCATTATAATTTCTTTGAAAACAAAGTGACTAAGTGGATGGATTTGGTTTTTGCCCGCTTTCTCTTTATGCTCGTTTGCCTTCAGATGGAGGTGTGATCGTGTTTCGTTGGCCATAGCCTGGATCATTTTGGAAGACAAGATACCAGCATAGTGAACAGAATGGAAGAGAAGCCCATGAATATGTTGGGGCTTACTAAAGTTCCATAACTGCGTCCTGATCACTGATTAATAATAATAATGACTTTGCAAAATGACAATAAAAAAGTACTGATTTATTTCTATATTTTTGTCTTTTAAGGCAAGCAGAGTGCTGGTGGCATCCCGTAATTTTGCAAATGATGCTACATTTGAAATTAAGGTAAGAAGTGGTTTAGTTTGTTCATAATTTTTCACAGGTACACTCTGATACACAGTTATACCTTTAGAATAGAACATTTTAATATTCATCCTTTTTTTCATTTTCTTCCAAATTTAGCAAAAATTAGAATTTATTATTCTTAGCAGCTTGTTGGTGTTTTGTGGGGGGAGGAGGGCAAGCTAAAAAAATAAAAATAAAAACTTATGCCAAGTTTTAGAATGCGATTCAGTGAAACATTTGAATAAGAAGAATCTTAGATGTTTCCTTGAAAGTTCATTTTTCAGCCTATAACTCAGTTGACTTCTACGGGTTTTTCAGTGAAAATCCTCTTAGAAAGATTTCCTTCCCCCAAAACCCCATCCATTGCACAGTGAGGTTTATAGATTTAAGGAATCAGAAGCAATAGGAAGCGTTTCTGATGTGCTCCTTTGCTGTTTTTTGAGTTCAATATTATTCACAATGGAATCAGAGCGAGTCGGCAGTGTTTGCAATGTAGTAAATAGAGGATGACTGCCTTATTCCATTTCAGAAATGTGACCTTCACCGGCTGGAAGAGGGTCCTCCTGTCACGACAGTGCTCACCAGAGAGGACGGGCTCAAATACTACAGGATGATGCAAACTGTGCGCCGAATGGAGTTAAAGGCAGATCAGCTGTACAAACAGAAAATTATTCGTGGTTTCTGTCACTTGTGTGATGGTCAGGTGAGTGGTAGGTTTGTAATAAAACTGTGTTATTAATATTTAGATATTTAAGTATGGCTTGTATTTATTGGTTTTTACCCTGCCTTATGCATCAGAAGGATTTCGAATGGTATTTTGAATTAAAAAGTTAGAATGCCAAAACCTGCTATGACGCTCAGGCTAAAGGATTCATTCACACATAACATTGCCAATTTCCTATACCTCTTCTTAGAATTTTACTATTTTAAAACTTTCTGGCATTGTGATCACCTATACTGTATACAGTTTTGGGGGAAAGGATTATTTTGTTTGTTTTTTGTTTTGTGGGTTTAGGTGAAGGCTTACAGATTCAAATGCATACAGGGGCCAGACAGGTAGAATAAATGGGTGAAGAAGGCCAGGTGTACAAACATAGAGAATGGTGACAGGGACTAGTGGTGAGCTGGGGTGGCCATGCCTCACCCAGAGGGGATGCCATGACTTGGTTCCAGCCAGTTGGTACCATATGGGAATATGGGCCTAATGCTTCATATTGTTTGTTTCTCCAAAAGACAGAAGTCTCAATTTTCATGTGACATTCCCCCAATTGTTTTAATGTTGACAATGGTTCAGGATTTTTTTTTTATTTCAGCTTATTATGGGGGTACAGATGTTTAGGTTATGTATGTTGCCCCCCCAGTCCGAGTTTCAAATATGTCCATCCTTTGGGTGGTGCGCATTGCACTCTTTGTGTATGCATATACCAGTCCCTTCCTCCCTCCTCCCCGCTCCCATGGATTTTTTTTTTTTTTTTTAATCACCACAGAGGCTAAAGGAAACAGCACAACTGTGGGTTGCCAGTTCATGGCTTCTGGTTTGGGCCTTGCCTTCCCCTCTGTTTTTTGATGGAAAATAGCCACTTTTCTCTGGTTATTAATGATGAGTTCTACTAGCTCAAATGTTTCATAGCAGTCTAGGAAACCTTTTTATCCAGAAACACGTATCGTATTGCTTCACGGTTTCTTCTAATGCAGGAAGCTTGCTGTGTAATCCCACAGACCATCTCATCACAGCCTATCGGGCTCACGGCTTTACCTTCACTCGGGGCCTTTCTGTCAGAGAAATTCTTGCAGAGCTTACAGGTTTGTTATTGATTTTCAGGAAGGGGAAATGAGTGAATTAAGTTTTTAAATATCTCCTGTTAAGAAGCTGACCATTATGCATTAATATTTTTTAAAGTTTTCAGTTTTTTTTAAAGCCCTCTCTCATTTGGTGCTCTGGTACTTCTGTTGTGCTTTTGAGTAAACTGACCCATTTGTGAAGTCATCTGGCCCCTTGGGTAAAAGTTTAAAAATGGTTAGTGCTTTAAAATTAGAATAGGGTTTGTTATCACTCTAGTATGCCAACAGAAATCTAGCAGGCCTAGAAAGTGAGGTTGAAGCACTCCATGGTATACAATGTAAATTCTAGGAATCTTCTTAATATTCCCCATTTCTTTTTCCCCCTTGACTTTTGAACTACAGTCATCCCTCATTATACTCGGGGAATTGGTTCCAGGACCCCTGTGTATGCAAAATCTGTGCATACTCAAGTCCCACAGTTGGCCCTGTAGAGTCCGTGTATGTGAAAACTCAGCCCTCTGTATATGGGGGTTTTGCATCCAAGAACACTATTTTCAGTTTGTGTTTGGTTGAAAAAAAAAAAAAAATCTGAGTATAAGTGGACCTACTCAGTTCAAACCTGTGTTGTTCAAGGGTCAGTTGTATTTAGTGTACAAGTTGGAAGATGTTCATAACTGTCAAAAAAAGTCCATTTGGACTTTTGCTAACATCTGAATGCAACTGATTAGAGAGTTGGAAAGGTTAAGGACATGGATATAGTCTGACCTTCCTCATGAAAGGACAGGGAGACAAGAAGGAACATACGTTTGCATAGAGGGACAGATGCTTAGATGATTGAATTGGGCTCTGAGTTCTAATGGTTGAGCCTTGGAGTAAATACTCCAAGGTGTGGTTTGGTTTGCTTTGTATATTTGGTTTTTGATGCCTGCGTGTTCTGCCATTTCTAGGACGAAAAGGAGGTTGTGCTAAAGGGAAAGGAGGATCGATGCACATGTATGCCAAGAACTTCTATGGGGGCAACGGCATCGTGGGAGCCCAGGTAGTGAGCTTAGATTTGGCCCCGCCCGTGTCTTCAAAAACTTTCACATCCTCAGAGAACTTTTGAAGTATTTCAGTACAGTCACGTGCTGTATAGTGACCTTTGAGCCAATGGTTCACTGCATACGTGATGGTGGTCCCTGAGATTATAGTGGAGCTGAAAACTTCCTATTGCCTAGTGATGTTGTTGAAGTACAACATTACCTTTTCTATGTTTAGGTACACAAATACTTATTGTCAGGTTACAGTTGCCTCCAGTATTCAATAGAGGGACATGCTGTACAGGTTTGTAGCCTAGGAGCAACAGGTCATACCACATAGCCTAGGCATGTAGTGGGCCGTACCATCTAGTTTTGTGCAAGTACGCTCTATGATGTTCGCACAGGACGAAATCGCCTAATAATGCATTTCTGAGAATGTGTCCCCGTGGTTAAGTGACACATGACTGCACTTTGGGGGCTTGGTTTGCTCTTAAAGACCTATTGCTTCATAGCCCCTACCATTTGAGCAATTAGTAAGTAGAATTGGATGGCGATTTAAAATTTTTCATTTTAGCTGTTTGCTATGTTCTATAAGCAAGAGCCTCTAGCAGTGGAGCCGTATCTTCACCATTTTATTTATATTTCAGTACATTAATTGCTTCATCACATCAACTTCGCTCTATCTCTCCCTGCTCATAGGTAATGCTGACACTGGTGCCCAACTAGAAGAGACAGGTGATCAGGATCTCAGGGACCTAGTAATAATCCAAAGCTGACTTCTGTTGTTATGGAGTCTTCTCGTTCTCATCAATTAGTGAATGATGAAGAATTAACAGCATAAAATCATATCTAGACTTTTTTCCTTTCTAATATATTAAAATTCTGTTAGGTATTTTATAAAAACTTAGGTTTCATTTTTTTGACTCTTTAGAGTTTAGTGGTTGAATCTTTGAGTGCAGAAACGTTTTTGCTTACTGGTTGAAATAGAATATAGTATTTATGTTACTTTATCGGTTTGTTGAAAAAATTGGGGGTGGGATAAGCAGAAATGGGGCTGGGGTAGGGAGAATTTGTAGTGACGGTGTAATTTCTGTCCCATATTCTGGCCAGGAGTTAATTCAGAGCGTTAATATCTCCCCTCATGGATTTCTGTGGTTCCTTTCTTGATCATCCTTAATGTTAGGTGCCCCTGGGAGCTGGTATCGCCTTGGCCTGTAAGTATAATGGAAAAGAGGCTGGAAGAGGGTCCTCCTGTCACGACAGTGCTCACCAGAGAGGACGGGCTCAAATACTACAGGATGATGCAAACTGTGCACCGAATGGAGTTAAAGGCAGATCAGCTGTACAAACAGAAAATTATTCGTGGTTTCTGTCACTTGTGTGATGGTCAGGTGAGTGGTAGGTTTGTAATAAAACTGTGTTATTAATATTTAGATATTTAAGTATGGCTCGTATTTATTGGTTTTTACCCTGCCTTATGCATCAGAAGGATTTCGAATGGTATTTTGAATTAAAAAGTTAGAATGCCAAAACCTGCTATGACGCTCAGGCTAAAGGATTCATTCACACATAACATTGCCAATTTCCTATACCTCTTCTTAGAATTTTACTATTTTAAAACTTTCTGGCATTGTGATCACCTATACTGTATACAGTTTTGGGGGAAAGGATTATTTTGTTTGTTTTTTGTTTTGTGGGTTTAGGTGAAGGCTTACAGATTCAAATGCATACAGGGGCCAGACAGGTAGAATAAATGGGTGAAGAAGGCCAGGTGTACAAACATAGAGAATGGTGACAGGGACTAGTGGTGAGCTGGGGTGGCCATGCCTCACCCAGAGGGGATGCCATGACTTGGTTCCAGCCAGTTGGTACCATATGGGAATATGGGCCTAATGCTTCATATTGTTTGTTTCTCCAAAAGACAGAAGTCTCAATTTTCATGTGACATTCCCCCAATTGTTTTAATGTTGACAATGGTTCAGGATTTTTTTTTTATTTCAGCTTATTATGGGGGTACAGATGTTTAGGTTATGTATGTTGCCCCCCCAGTCCGAGTTTCAAATATGTCCATCCTTTGGGTGGTGCGCATTGCACTCTTTGTGTATGCATATACCAGTCCCTTCCTCCCTCCTCCCCGCTCCCATGGATTTTTTTTTTTTTTTTTAATCACCACAGAGGCTAAAGGAAACAGCACAACTGTGGGTTGCCAGTTCATGGCTTCTGGTTTGGGCCTTGCCTTCCCCTCTGTTTTTTGATGGAAAATAGCCACTTTTCTCTGGTTATTAATGATGAGTTCTACTAGCTCAAACGTTTCATAGCAGTCTAGGAAACCTTTTTATCCAGAAACACGTATCGTATTGCTTCACGGTTTCTTCTAATGCAGGAAGCTTGCTGTGTGGGCCTGGAGGCCGGCATAAATCCCACAGACCATCTCATCACAGCCTATCGGGCTCACGGCTTTACCTTCACTCGGGGCCTTTCTGTCAGAGAAATTCTTGCAGAGCTTACAGGTTTGTTATTGATTTTCAGGAAGGGGAAATGAGTGAATTAAGTTTTTAAATATCTCCTGTTAAGAAGCTGACCATTATGCATTAATATTTTTTAAAGTTTTCAGTTTTTTTTAAAGCCCTCTCTCATTTGGTGCTCTGGTACTTCTGTTGTGCTTTTGAGTAAACTGACCCATTTGTGAAGTCATCTGGCCCCTTGGGTAAAAGTTTAAAAATGGTTAGTGCTTTAAAATTAGAATAGGGTTTGTTATCACTCTAGTATGCCAACAGAAATCTAGCAGGCCTAGAAAGTGAGGTTGAAGCACTCCATGGTATACAATGTAAATTCTAGGAATCTTCTTAATATTCCCCATTTCTTTTTCCCCCTTGACTTTTGAACTACAGTCATCCCTCATTATACTCGGGGAATTGGTTCCAGGACCCCTGTGTATGCAAAATCTGTGCATACTCAAGTCCCACAGTTGGCCCTGTAGAGTCCGTGTATGTGAAAACTCAGCCCTCTGTATATGGGGGTTTTGCATCCAAGAACACTATTTTCAGTTTGTGTTTGGTTGAAAAAAAAAAAAAAATCTGAGTATAAGTGGACCTACTCAGTTCAAACCTGTGTTGTTCAAGGGTCAGTTGTATTTAGTGTACAAGTTGGAAGATGTTCATAACTGTCAAAAAAAGTCCATTTGGACTTTTGCTAACATCTGAATGCAACTGATTAGAGAGTTGGAAAGGTTAAGGACATGGATATAGTCTGACCTTCCTCATGAAAGGACAGGGAGACAAGAAGGAACATACGTTTGCATAGAGGGACAGATGCTTAGATGATTGAATTGGGCTCTGAGTTCTAATGGTTGAGCCTTGGAGTAAATACTCCAAGGTGTGGTTTGGTTTGCTTTGTATATTTGGTTTTTGATGCCTGCGTGTTCTGCCATTTCTAGGACGAAAAGGAGGTTGTGCTAAAGGGAAAGGAGGATCGATGCACATGTATGCCAAGAACTTCTATGGGGGCAACGGCATCGTGGGAGCCCAGGTAGTGAGCTTAGATTTGGCCCCGCCCGTGTCTTCAAAAACTTTCACATCCTCAGAGAACTTTTGAAGTATTTCAGTACAGTCACGTGCTGTATAGTGACCTTTGAGCCAATGGTTCACTGCATACGTGATGGTGGTCCCTGAGATTATAGTGGAGCTGAAAACTTCCTATTGCCTAGTGATGTTGTTGAAGTACAACATTACCTTTTCTATGTTTAGGTACACAAATACTTATTGTCAGGTTACAGTTGCCTCCAGTATTCAATAGAGGGACATGCTGTACAGGTTTGTAGCCTAGGAGCAACAGGTCATACCACATAGCCTAGGCATGTAGTGGGCCGTACCATCTAGTTTTGTGCAAGTACGCTCTATGATGTTCGCACAGGACGAAATCGCCTAATAATGCATTTCTGAGAATGTGTCCCCGTGGTTAAGTGACACATGACTGCACTTTGGGGGCTTGGTTTGCTCTTAAAGACCTATTGCTTCATAGCCCCTACCATTTGAGCAATTAGTAAGTAGAATTGGATGGCAATTTAAAATTTTTCATTTTAGCTGTTTGCTATGTTCTATAAGCAAGAGCCTCTAGCAGTGGAGCCGTATCTTCACCATTTTATTTATATTTCAGTACATTAATTGCTTCATCACATCAACTTCGCTCTATCTCTCCCTGCTCATAGGTAATGCTGACACTGGTGCCCAACTAGAAGAGACAGGTGATCAGGATCTCAGGGACCTAGTAATAATCCAAAGCTGACTTCTGTTGTTATGGAGTCTTCTCGTTCTCATCAATTAGTGAATGATGAAGAATTAACAGCATAAAATCATATCTAGACTTTTTTCCTTTCTAATATATTAAAATTCTGTTAGGTATTTTATAAAAACTTAGGTTTCATTTTTTTGACTCTTTAGAGTTTAGTGGTTGAATCTTTGAGTGCAGAAACGTTTTTGCTTACTGGTTGAAATAGAATATAGTATTTATGTTACTTTATCGGTTTGTTGAAAAAATTGGGGGTGGGATAAGCAGAAATGGGGCTGGGGTAGGGAGAATTTGTAGTGACGGTGTAATTTCTGTCCCATATTCTGGCCAGGAGTTAATTCAGAGCGTTAATATCTCCCCTCATGGATTTCTGTGGTTCCTTTCTTGATCATCCTTAATGTTAGGTGCCCCTGGGAGCTGGCCTTGGCCTGTAAGTATAATGGAAAAGATGAGGTCTGTCTGACTTTATATGGCGATGGCGCTGCTAATCAGGTAAGTGTGTATCTCTTAACTTTCCAATAATAATTACAGTTTTCTTTCCAAAGTAGTAGCATATTGCTTATTAGTTGAAATAGCAACTCATCTAGCAAGTTAAAATTTGGTTTTATGGCCAGTTTAGAGATTTCCCTCTCAACATTACGTTTCACAAGAGCCTTATGGGGCATCTTCCCGGGAGGGAGCTCACGTTGGCTCCATATCAGTGCTTCACAAATGCCCTGTTGTGGCGAAGGACATCCCCATCCCCCCACCTATTTCAAACCAGTACTGTAATATACAGACTCACTCTCTGAGATGCCAGCCAGGGCAATGTCAAATTCCTATAATAGTGTCTGAATCCTGACTGAGTTTCTGTGCTTCTCCAGTCATGGTCCAAATAATCCTCAGTCTGTGGCCAACACTCTGTGAGGCCCTGTTCTAGAAGCTGATTCTCAGATGCTGGTTCACTCTGGCTATCCAGTGGGCTTGATAGATTTATAATAAAGCATAAAAGTAAGTAGCCACACATTTTTACACATTGCTCTTTTTCCCAGTGTATTCTCTACTACTCGAGTGGCCCCACAGAAGTGAGTGGCAGTATTTGGTTTGTCCCTTCCCTTAGTTGCAAGAGTTAGTGATACCTGCTGCTTCTCCCCACCACCCCCACCACACACACTCCTTTCCTTCACCACCAAAAGCTGGTTTTAGAAGATGAGGCATTTGTCTTTCACAGCAGCTTTCTGTGCCAGGTAGAGCAGCAGCCATTACAGATAATTAAGTCTAGAGAAATAAGCAAAATGAAACCACTTGAACTTTTTGTAAATACTTCCAGGGTCAGATATTTGAAGCTTACAACATGGCAGCTTTGTGGAAATTGCCTTGTATTTTCATCTGTGAGAATAATCGCTATGGAATGGGAACGTCCGTGGAGAGAGCAGCAGCCAGCACTGATTACTACAAGAGAGGCGATTTCATTCCTGGGCTGAGGGTAAGGATATGTGTGGTAGAACCAGGGCCATCCATATTCTCAGCTAGGTGCCTTTGTGCATATCCTGGACATCTTAAGAAAAATTGGAGCGTTTCATTTTTTTGTGCACGAACAGGTCATATAAAATGGTCTTGGACAGTTTGATTTATACTCTTCCCCTTCCACGTTTGTTAACAGGTAGATGGAATGGATATCCTGTGTGTCCGAGAGGCAACAAGGTTTGCAGCTGCCTATTGTAGATCTGGGAAGGTAAGACTCTAAAGATTTTCTCTTAGGCCTCTGGGCTAAAAATTTCTGATGACATTTATCTCTCAAAGTTAAAAGAATGCTTCCCCCATGCCCATTATAGCTATTGAGGAATAGCTGCTGATTGAGGTGTATACCATAGAAGCAGAGTCCAGTCCAGGGAATGGGGTTCCTTTATGAATAGCTTGGTCTTGATAGCTTACCTCCTGGAAAACATTCCACATTTCCCCCATTTGGGGAAAATCCTTTTTCCTAGTGCTTCCTTAGCATTTTGCTTCTATCTTCAGCATGACAATCTACTTTGCCTTGTAGGTTGGTTAATTATGTGCCTTTTCCTCCCCACCCCCATTAACCATAAGGCCCTTGAGGGAACAGATTGGGGATCCCCACGATCCCCAGCACATGGAACTTTGCTTATATAATGGGTATCCAATATAGGTTTGTTTATACAAATTAGTGTGGTTAAAGTGTGTAACCTTAATCTTGCTGTTTCAGTCCTAAGAATCTTTACCTTTTGCCGTATAGCAGTGAGGGAGAGGGAAACAGTGAGATTGGCCTAAAAGGAGGCTTAAGTTCCGTCAGTGCTAGCATAGATTTAGGTGTTCTCCCTAAGTCAGTGTCCCGCAGCCCAATATCATGTGTCCAGTAATGCACATCAGATGTCACCAGCAATGACGGAAATATCAGAAAGGGAGGAGGGAGGGAAGTATAGCGACATTTAACGAGAGCCAGCATGAAGAAACCAGAGCCGGACCAAAATGACAGGTTGGTTTCAGTGGGCTGAGCCATCTATGTGAGGACTCCAAGGCTGAGGGAGCCAGGCCCTGGGTAGAAACACAGTGGTATATAGAATGTGTTGACTTTCCCAGCAAGCCTGATCTTCGATTTAGGAGAGAATCTGGAAACTCTGTGCTTACCGAGGGCACAACCCACTGTTTCCAAATGGCTGCTGGTTGACATGACACAGTAAGTGACAGCTAATGAGGGATTCACCTGTTAGGCAATGCACTAAGTACTTTTTAGATATTATCTTAATCCTCACAATTCTGAGTTAGGTATTAATGTTTTGCCCATTTTGCAGACAAGGAAACTGAGCCACAGAGCAGTTACGGGTACATAGCTACTATATCTTAGAGCCATTTTAACTACCGCACCAAATTATCCAGGGATCCTTGATTCATCCCCTCCCCTCAGTGTTCAGGGCCATCTTCTGAAAGTGGGCTAGTGTAGCATGAACAAGCCACTTGGTGATGTATAGCCAGGCTGGACAGACTCCCAGCGGAGCCTCAGGGTTTGGGTATCAGATGTCACTGGTGCCTGCCAACTCTGTTACATGCTAGCAAGATCTGTGTGAAGCAGGATTGGTTGCCAGCCCTAGGGAACACCACGTGAAATGGGCACGAGGTAGAAATCGACCTAGCCACTGTGAGTGGGCTCTATAGACATGCTCGATGCCTTTTTGATGTAAAACACACTGTTGGCAGATTGCTTTATTAAGTTCCTATTAAAAATGAGAAGGATGAAACGTAATACATAAATATTAGAAATGAGAATAGATAAGAATACATTGGATGCTGAAAGGGTCTGCCTTTGGGGCCATGGATTGTTGGCATGTTGTTCCCATTGTCTTATCTAACCACCTATGGGTTCTGTTTTAGGGGCCTATCCTGATGGAGCTGCAGACTTACCGTTACCATGGACACAGCATGAGTGATCCTGGAGTCAGGTACGGTCATGGGGCATCTGAGTGGTTTCCCGAGTGGGTAGGCCACTTGCGTGAAAAAGCAAACCCATTTCAGCATTTGCTTTCGAAGCCAGATACCAGTTCGCTTTGTTGGCATCAAGTAGTTGAGGCTTAGTCTGAAAACAGTGCCTCCTAATAAATTGGTTCTAATATAGAAAGCATTCTGAAAATCCCTACAGTGTGTATAGTATGTGTTAGCATGAGCAGTAATTTTAAAAAGAGCATTATATAACTTAGTTGCAGAGGGAAATTAAACAGGTATGATAGTAGGAGTGTCTTTGGGGGGCATTTAGCTTTGTAGGCATTACCCCAAATTCACGCATGACATACTCCATCTGAAGAAGATCTCTCTCTGGTCTGGAGCGGGGCTAACTGGGTATTCAATAAATTGAAACATATCAATCAAAAAAGCTAGGAAGGTATGAGTGTTAACGTTTTCACTTAGTAGCTCTGGCATATAATTCTACAATCCCAGGTTTGACACAAGTGAAAGAAGTTTCAGTGATCTGTTATGTTCTCCCCCATAGTTACCGAACACGAGAAGAAATTCAGGAAGTAAGAAGTAAGAGTGACCCTATTATGCTTCTCAAGGATAGAATGGTGAACAACAATCTTGCCAGTGTTGAAGAATTAAAGGTACAGTCACTCTTGGTGGTTTTAAAGGTTGGTTCTCCTTTCTGGGCAATTTCCCCCCCCCCCCAATACAAAGAGACGTGTGGGGGGCATAATTAATTCTGAAATCTCACAGGGCCATTCCTTTAGGTTCCTCCACTCAAGATTGCAATATTTCCTCTTTATTCACGCAGCTCACTGCCCACTAAAATCTTAATAAAGAATAAGATGAGTGGCAGAACCTTTGAGCCCCCTAATAGCACAGTTCTTTTTCTTAAATATGCTCTGGATTTTTAAGTAATCCCTAGGACTATTTTTAAATGTTGAAGTCTGTATTCCAAAAACATCTTGTATAGATAATTTTATCATTTAAAAAAATACATTCAAAATTAGCAACTACTGGTACTTCAAGAGTCACAGTTAACAATAGCAACAGGTCCCTAGCTGGTGTTGATTTAAAACTCCCTTGCACTATAATCTGCTTTTTAGGAAATTGATGTGGAAGTGAGGAAAGAAATTGAGGATGCTGCCCAGTTTGCCACGGCTGATCCTGAGCCGCCTTTGGAGGAACTAGGTTACCACATCTACAGCAGCGACCCGCCTTTTGAAGTTCGTGGTGCCAATCAGTGGATCAAGTTTAAGTCAGTCAGTTAAGGGGAGACCACACAATGGGTGGTTGTACCTTCAGCGGGCTGTTAGATAGCCGCTCTCAGGAACTGTGTGTGTTCCAAACTTGGTTAAGGAGGAAGAAAACCCAGAACATGAAAGTGTTTAAGAGTAAACAATATGTAGGTTGAATTAAAGAGATAGTAATTGCATGCAGCTTGTATATCGTTGCATTAAAAGATGTTATCAAGTATTTAGTATAAATATTATAAAGATCATTCTCAATTTGTATAGGTTCAAAATAGAACGATTTGATGATTTACTTTGTATACTTTCAACAAATAGGAAAAACAATTCCTTGTATGTCTGTTCCCAACTCTGTCACCTGTTGGGGAGGAGATCATTCCCCAGAGGCATACTTGGTGTTAACAGCTCATACACCATAGTGTAGTAGCACTGACCCCCAACCCCAGCAGTGTGGGTGCTGAAGCCTGTGCACACTGACCTCCATACTAAGACAGTATTTATTATAACCAGGCAGAGGTGGGAGGACAAACAAACAATCATTTCAAAGACCAGATAACTTAGTTTTCTCCATGTATACATTCAAAATAAATATGAGGCTATTTTCTTAATGGTTACATTCATATTGAACATGAAATACAAGGCACATATATATCAATTTTCTTTCTCAGATTTAAGTACTATTTATACATAATCTAAAAATGTGATTCCCAATGTCTGTTATTTTTAAATGCTCATTGTTTCGCCTTTCTAGCAAGTGCTCTGATTCTTGGTTGAAGTAATTTAAAATTTCTAAGACTGTCCTAATACTGTGGGATGTCAAAACTAAGGCTCACTGTTCTCACAATACATATAGTTCTATGTTTAATATGTTTTAAAAACTCCAAAAAACCATTTCAGGAAGGATAGTCTTTAAAACTTCACCAATTTCTTGAATTGTTAATTGAACAATGGTATTTTTTTTGTATGTAAACATAGCAGAATGTGTGTACATCAACAGAAGCTTTAACAATGGATGTAGCATATTTGCTCACTCTGTCACCTGGCTTAGCTGATTGTCATTAAATCTAATCTTTGGTTGCTGAGGACTCCTGAGCCCTTCTTCTGTACTGGGAGACTGCATTCCAGAGCTTACAGAGGAAACCGCCGCTATGAAACAAAAGAGTTGTCTTTAAAGTCAAGAAAACTTCACCACCACAAAATACTTCTTTAGGAGTCCTTATGGCAAAAGTTATATGTAATTCCAGATTTATCTAGATTTGCCATCATCTAGTCTTTAAAATGCAGTCCCTTGCTTAATGAAAATAAAATGTTCTCTTTATGTATGGAGGTGACAGCAGTGGTAGGACATGGCCTTAAAGATATGTACTTGGGGAGGGCTATTTCAAATGACACAGGACTGAGAATGCAGGTTGCAGTTTAAAGGAAAGGGTGGGGGTCTAGCCTGCTGGCACTTCCTCACCCCACTCCCAGCTAGGCATGGATAGCAGGAGATTGACTGGGGCCATCATTTCCCTGTCGCCTTTCTGGCCTTTAGTTTCTGCCACACCTCAGCTTTTTCCCCAACTTGAACCTGGCAGAACTCCAGAGTTTAGAGGGACGTCCAGCCCCTTGTTTCCTGTTACTTTAAAGCACATTCACACGTAAAAAAATAACGTTCTATTATATGAACTCTTTTGAGAGACTTACCGTAGTCTAAGGTATCTTAGATCTTCCTTAGTGATATCATTAAGAATATCAGAAAGCGTATAACCCTCTTCAATAATCTAAAACAAAGATCAAATACATAAGAGCTAAGCAGCTTTTTAACAATAGCAATAGGAATCATTTTTTTGGTTGTAAATTTACCTTTTCGATTGTATATGCATCTGCTCCTTGCAGCTGCAACCAGTCTATAAGCTCTTTATCTGTTCTCTGCCCATGGCGGGGTGCTGGGTTCTCTGTAGTATCTGTAAGGATGAGGAATTTGTTTTGTTGTATATTAATGTCTCACCATAAAACTCTTCAGAAGTAACAAGTTGGCTTAACAAACTATTCCAGAATATAAATGTGATATGAAAAGGAGGTGAATTAAACCCGTGTCACTCAGCTGCTCTAATACAAATTAAACGATTCCTAATTCTTAGATTCACTTTCCAGAGAGAGAATTCTTACCTATGATTCCTTTAGTTAGTTTGGGATTTGACATGTTATCTGTCACTTTAAATGCTTATTCCCCCATCTTTAAAATGCTTTTTATTAGGAATCATATCCCTAACTGTACTGGAAAGCATATGAGGAAATAGGTTTCATTGTTGACATTTTACATCAGAGCTTATGCACTCCATATTCCAAGAGGTAGCTCTGTAGCTCTTTTCTAAGTGGCACCAAATGACCAAGTCAGGTTTGCTAAGGTATAATTTATGCAGTAAACCCTCCTTTTCTGGTATATAATGTGCTGTGAAGTTTGACAGACACAGTCATGTAACAACCACCACCACAATCAAGATACAGAAATTGCCACGATTCCCAGAAGCCCTCATGTGTTCTTTGTAATCAGTCCCCTGCCCTCCCTATTCTGATTTGTTCTGTCCTACAGTTTTGCCTTTTCTGGGGTACTATATAAATGGCATCATGGTATGTAGCCTTTGAACCTGGCTCTTTCTCCTAGCATGCCACATTTGCAATTCATCCATGTTGTTGAATGTATCAGTAGTTCTTTTTATTATTTAGTACTCCAGAATCTACTGGAGTCCTGGTTTAATAGAAGATAACCTCAACTCTTTCTTCATAAGCTGACTAGAATATTAGCCAGATTTTAAACAGTCTCTCTCACACACAAACACACTTCAGTCAGAGAAAGTGGAAAATGACTCACCATTAGATTTATATTGTAACTGAAGGTGATGTAATTCTTGAGTTTTCTGTTCTAGAGTTTGCCGTAGAAGATTCTGGTACTCTTTTTCTTTTTGAACTAGGTGTTCCAAAAGTCTGATTATAAAACAAAAAACAAAACAAGCCATCTTCCAGAGAGAGCGCAACACCATTCAATTTAACGCAAACATCTGTTGCACATTAAGAGATTAAAAAAAAAAAAAAGGAAAAATAGCACAAGCAGCAAATGTGTTGTTTCTTCAGAGTTCTGTGAATCGGGTTTCAGCCTGTGTAGGAGAACGTTCCTTGTGTTTTTCCTCCCCTTGACAACAAAGACCAATGCTTGGGTATATTTGTGCAATGGACTGAATGTGTCCTTCCAAAATTTGTATGTTAAAATCTTCATACCCAAGGTGATGATATTAGGAGGGTGGGGCCTTTGGGAGGTCAGACGAGATGAGTGCCCTAATGAAGAGAGACCCTCCCCCCCCGAGATTCCCTTATCCCTTCCACCACGTGAGCACACCGAGAAGATGGCCGTGTATGAACCAGGAAGCAGAGAGGGCCCTCACCAGACATGGAATCTGCCAGCACCTTGATCTTGGACTTGCCAGTCTCCAGAACTGTGAGAAATAAGTTTCTGTCATATATAAGCCACTCAGTGTATGGTATTTTGTTACGGGAGCCTGAACAGACTAACAGTTTTCTCTCAAAATGTATCATGAACCAAAAGATAACTTGACGTTGACCAGTAGAACTCAGCCAGAGGATGATCTGATTATTTAAACTTGTCTCCCGACATTCAGGAAACTACAATGTTAGGCTCCTTCCTCCTCAACCGAGGGAACTAAACTGAAGGACAGCAGCCCCTGCTTCTGATACAACAGCTGGGCGCAGAGGCGGGACAGCGAGAAACACTGCTCTGCAGGTTGGGAGGAATGATACTGCTAACATTCACTGAGCACTTCCTACACAAAATCCAGGACTGTGCTAAACACTTTTCACAGATTAAGTCCTTCAACGCAGTACTTTTGGGAAGTAAGCACCCTTTTTTTAAACCCCCATTTTGGAGCTAACAGAGCCACAGAATAGTCAAGTAATTTGCACAGAGTCACACAGGCTGGGCTCTTCCCATCAGGACTTTCTGCTGACACCCAATCTTGCTCATGGTCTCTCCAGGACAAGAAAGATGGCTTGGCACAGCTGAGCCTCAAACTTCTGAGTCCCCACATGCCAGCGAAATGGCATGCCTGGGGGAGGGGAGGAGGGCTGGCAGACTGGAGCCAGGTCTAGGTCTAGCTTGCTTTGTTTGCTCGTACCTAGCACCTGGGATTCATTTGTTTCTTACTGCGTGCTCCTTTCGTTCATTTATATGATCCGTGCTGATGAACTTGGGGATACAGGAACTAAGCTTTATTTAAATTACTGAAGTTGCCCTGAGGATTCACTGCAATAGTGAACATATGAGAACATAGGTACTCCTGGATCATCCGGTGGCAAACGGGGTGGGGAGAGGCAAACACTTCTGCCCCAGTGTGACAGCAAGTAAGAAATCCTTTCCCACCCTACCCCTGCCTGCCTTTGTTCTGTCTCTCAAGAAGTCCTCCTTTTATGCTAGCGGAGGGGACAATTCTAGCTCGTGCCTCTGCCCTTCCAGTGGAAAGGGCTCTCAGGACTGACATTCACTGGGACAGTCACATCATTCTTTGCAATAGCTGCGGTCCTCCATCAGTTCTGCCCAGCTGCCACATAGCCAAGGCACCTCACAGCACAAGGCTGGGCAGCCTGTGCAGGAGCTCGCAGTTCAGGTGAGCGCCATGTGCGTTAATGTGCTGGCTGCTGTTTAACCAAGTCCTGCTTCCACTGAGACTGGAAAATAACAGAATGACCTTTGAACCCATATATACCATTTTATGAATTTGCTGAGTATAAATCTTGAGTGAAAAATTTTAAAGAAATGCTAAGTATTACTACCAACTCTCATATCTATCATATTTGTAAAACTTTCAAAATCTGGCCACCACTACCATTTAACTAAAACTCCAGGCCTTTTAAAAAAAGAAACGATTAGATCCACCTAAGATTGAACTTTAGAGGTCCCTGGGAGTGTATACAATTTTTCATCCAGAATATGTACCTGGCACCTTATCTCCCCCTATTAAACAGTAATCAGCATCACCAGTGATCATATGGCAGGCAACAAAGTGACATCTGGAACAAGCACCAACTAGTTTGCCATAGCTTTGGATTACATTTTAAAAAGCCCAATGATAATGTGATTCTCCAGAACAAATGGAAATCATTTTATTCATTTAACAAATATTTACTGAGCACCTACTATGTGCCAGGAAGTAAACAAAATAGACCAGTGTGCTTGGGGGGAACAT